ATGCCCCTTGACTGACAGTTTTAAAAGAAGGCTGGGGTCCCTTCCCTTGACACGGCACCCTGTCCCTCTGGCCCTTCTGTCTGCAGGGCATGTACAATGCCACCACCCGGCAGGTGGAAACGGAGCTCCTCCCCTGCCTCAGGCACTTCGGATTGAGGTTCTACGCCTACAACCCTCTGGCTGGTACGGGCTGCTGTGGGGACAGGCTCCCCTGGGCGGGAGGGCCCTCCTGGCCCCCGTGTCTGTCTCTTCCTGACATGGTAGATGTCCGGCCCAGGACCTGGGAGGCAGGGAGGGTTTGGGAAGAGGCTGGGCTGTGTCCCCCATCCCTCCTGGGTTCCTCACCACCCCACCCGAGTCCAGGACGGCCTCGGGGAGCAGGGCGGGCCCGCGGGTGTGACCACAGTCTTCTCGCAGGGGGCCTGCTGACCGGCAAGTACAAGTACGAGGACAAGGACGGGAAACAACCTGCGGGCCGCTTCTTTGGGAATAACTGGGCTGAGACCTACAGGAATCGGTGAGCTGGGGGTGGGACACAGGAAGGGTGGGATACGGGGTCCCCCTTATTGGAAATGGAAAGCATCTAGGCCGCTTAACCTGGTCCCGGGTCTCCCTTATGCCTGGACCTACATGTCCTGATTCCTGCAGGAGTGACCAAACTCTGGCGCCTCTGGTTTTCTCGGGGCCTCAGTGAGGAAATGAGGATCCCTGGCCCGTGCACCGGGTCTCCCAAGTCACAGCTCTTCCCTGAGAAGTGCCGACCACTTGCCGGGAGGGAAAGAGCGAGCCTTGGGTTGACGCTCATGAGGCTGGGGCCGAGTCCTGCCCCGCCCCCCCCCCCGCCCTGTACTGGTTACCTTTGCTTCACTAAGGAAAGTAAAGGCAGGGCAGGACAGGGCAGGGTTGACGGTGGGGTCCCCTGAGAGGTCCCTCTGACCGCCTCGTGCAGAGTGAGCTGGGCACAGCTGCCGGGCTTGGCTTTTCGGCTATAGCCCCAGCGTGACCCCCTGTGATTGACCCTTGTGCCACCCCCTTCACCTGCCCAGCTTCTGGAAGGAGCACCACTTTGAGGGCATCACCCTAGTGGAGAAGGCCCTGAAGGCCGCGTACGGCACCAGCGCCCCCAGCATGACCTCGGCCGCCCTCCGCTGGATGTACCACCACTCCCAGCTCCAGGTAAGCCCCCGGCCCGGACATGCCACTGCTGCCCTTTGAGCAGAGCCACACTTACCTCTAGGCGACTTCTAAGCTGTTTCTTCCTCTTTTTTTTTTTTTGAAGATTTTATTTTGGGGACACCTGACTGGCTCTGTCGGTAGAGCATGTGACTCTTGATCTCCGGGTGGTGAGTTCAGGCCCCACGCTGAGTGTGGGGTCTACGTTAAAAAAAAAAAAAAAAAAAAAGATTTTATTTTTAAGTAATCTCCACAGTCTCGAACAGGGCTCGAACTCACAACTCTGAGACCAGGAATCATGTGCTCCACCAACTGAGCCCGCCAGGCACCCCATCTAAGGAGTTTTTCCCTCTGAAGTTTCTCTCGGCTCCAACCCTGATGACGAGCAGTTCTTTCATTGTTCTGAGTAGATGTCTGAGCGCCAGGCCCGTGATGTGGCTTCGTAGACGTGTATTTAGTTAATTCTGAGGTCTCTCTCCCCATGAGGAGATGGGTTCACCCAGCTGTGCAGGGGGCAGAAAATCTCTCAAAACTCATCAGTCTATGTCTGTGGTGGGAGCTCAGGTTCCCCCCTCTCTCTCGTGTCCCCTGTCTTCCCAGCTAAGACTTTTCTCCCGCGACAGCCTTACACAGTTGGGTGGTGCCTGCCGCATATATAGTAGTTTCTCAATAAATGGGGGCTAAGTGCTTTCTATAGTTTTTCATTCCCATAACCGCCCCAAAAATAGAGGAGACTGAGTCACAGAGAGGTGAGATAAGTAAGTCATGCTCACACAGCTGCCCAGTGGCAGAACGGGGCTCTGGACACAGGTCTGTCTGAGGATGAGCAGAGTGACAGCAGAGAGAAGACAGGGTTTGGAGTTGTTATGCCGAGAGACACAGAGACCCACCGAGACCACTGAAGCCGAATTAAGGGAGTTTTTATTACTGGCCGGGACCGCACAGAGTTAACACAGAACTCTCTAAATGTGTGGCCCCAAGTCCAAGGACTTAGAGCTTTCAATAATGAGCAAGCAGGCAGGTGGGCAGTGCAGAAGCAGAATTGAGCAGTTATTGTAAAAAGGCTACAAAGTGATAAAGAGAGCGGCCCTTATCCTGGTGTGCAGGAAAACATTCCTTATTTTGAAGGCAAGGTTTAGGGTTTTGGGAAGTTTCAAGGGAATAGCCGTTATCTCAAGGACAAAATATGCAAGCTGTGTCATACATAACCATGATCAGGGGGCATTAACCCTTGTCGTCTTATTTGTGTTTTTCCTTGCACCTGAGGGTAGTTACATAGCCCTCCGAGTGCAGGCCCAGAAGCAAACTCTGGGTCAAGATGGAAGGACTGAGGCTTCAACAGAGTCATGTAGTTAAAATTGTTGAAGGCACCTCAAGTTCTTCGTGGAACTGTGTACGGCATGAATAAACATCAGAGCCCCAGCCTCGGCAGGGGCGGGGCTGGGAGGGAGGGCGTGTGGCCGGAGTCGCTGCGGTGCCTGTGTGTTCACCCGCGGCCGTCTCCCCTTGCAGGGTGCCCTCGGGGACGCGGTCATCCTGGGCATGTCCAGCCTGGAGCAGCTGGCACAGAACTTGGCGGCGACGGAGGAGGGGCCCCTGGAGCCCGCCGTTGTGCAGGCCTTTGAGCGAGCCTGGCACCTGGTTGCCCACGAGTGTCCCAACTACTTCCGCTAGGCCGCCGCCTGGCTCGAGCTGCCAAAGATTTCTCTCTTTTCCGTCACGTCTTCTCTTCTCTCGTCCTGACCGGTCTGCCTTAAGTCGATTTAGTGCGGTCTTCTTGATTGTCTGGATCAATGCATTCTTTTCTAGATTCCTGCCTGGCCCCTAGTTGCCGTCAGAATGTGATAAGGCCGGGGCTGGGCCCGCTTGGGAAGTCCCTGTCTGAATAAAGCAGCCACTTGACCTGGCCGTAGCCCAGGTCTTGACTTAACCCCACGAGCCCGTCTCCTTGACTCTGCAACCAGTTTTCACCCTGCGCGGGGGCTTCCTGCCAGAGGGGCAGAGCCCTGAGGTGGAGTCTCCGAGGGGGGAGCGGGGGCAGAGCTACCATGCACGCTGTCCTCTCGAGGGTCTCCCTCCTCCCTCCGAATCCAGCCTGAACTCTTGACAGCAGGGCTGAGGTGGCCCTCACTCGGCTATATACAGCGGAAGAAAAGCAGGCCATCCACTCTCAAGTGTATCCTCTCTTATTCAGAAGCTCCTCATGAAAGAGACATACTTACAAGTAGAATCATTAGGTCCAGAACCTACCATGAGAGTCTTTGCCAAGGAGAAAGACACTCCTAGGCACCTCCTGAGATGCCGCAGAACGTTTTTAACAGACTCGATTTCAGCAGAGGCTTTACTCTCATTGAAGGCCTCCTGTCTCCTTGTCATCTGATAGACACCCAGCCCTAGCCCTGGGTCCTGTGCTGCGGGAGGTGTGGCACGGGCAGCCAGGGTCTCTCTCTCTCTCTTTCTCTCTCTCTCAAAAATGAATAAAACATTAAAAAATTGTTTTAATAATAAAAGATGTGCACATGGCCAATAAGCACATGAAAAGCCCTTCAACATCATTACCCATCAGATAAAGTAAATCAAAAGCAGTGGTCCCACTCTATTCCCACCAGGTGGGCTTTAGTAAAAGATGGACAATAATGAGTGTTGACAAGGCTGTGGAGAAATTGGAATCTCCCCCACTGCTGGTAGGACTGTCAAGTGGCTCAGCCACTCAGGAAAACAGTCTGGCTGTTCCTCCAAAAATAAGATCTAGAGTTTCCGTAGGACCCAGCAATTCAGCCCCTTAGGTATATACCCACGAGAAATGACAATGAGTCCACACAAAAAACCATACACAGATATTCACAGCAGCAATAGCCAAAAAGTGGAAACTGCCTAAATGCCCATCAGCCAATGAAGGGATAAATAAAAAGGGGCCCATTCAGACAGTGGAAGAGCATCAGAAAGGAAGTTACAAACACAAAAATGTGGATGAACTTTGAAAACCTGCTGAGTGGAAGAAGCCAGGCACAAAAGGCGTCCTGGTGTATGACTCGGTTTACGTGAGCTGTCAGGAGCAGGCAAATCAACTAGAGACGGAAAGTAGGCTAGTCATTGCCAAGGGCTGGAAAGAGTGTTGAAGGAAACGGAGAGAGACTGCTAATGAGTTCAGGTTTCTCTGGGAGGGGGGTGATGGAAGGCTCTAAAACTGATTCTTGGATACCCCCAAGTACACTAAAAAGCATTGAATTATACACTGTAATTGTGTAATATGCAAATTCTGTCTCAGAGTGGTTTGCAGGAGTCTTTTTGTTTTAAGTTTATTTATTTATAATCTCTACACCCATCGTGGGGCTCGAACTCACAACCCCGAGACCATGAGTCACACACCCCACCGACTGAACCAGCCAGGCACCCCCGTTTTTGTTTTTAGAGAACAAGTCCTTTAGCATGAATCTGCTGGCTGGGCGGGGCTCAGTGGGGAATGCCCATCTGCTCCCCAGCGACTGAGAAGTGACCTTAAAGCTGGAGGGACAATCTCCTGAAGGCCCCTTCACACATGTCTGGCGGTTGACGCTCGTTGTCAGCTGGAATGCCAGTTGCTGTGGTCAGGTGACACATTTACACGTGACCCCTCCATGTGGCCCAGGCTTTCCTCAAAGAGTGGCCACTGGCTTCTAAAGTTTACCCAAGAAAACCAGGCAGAAGCCATAATGCTTTATATGTCCCAGCTTTGGAAATCCATAGAATCACTCTTGCCTCATGGGATGAGTGTCACGTTATGTTGTACAAGAGGATACGAGAGAAGAGATGTCATCTTTGGAAGACAACCTCTGCCCCTAGGAACAATGGTCCTGAGTGGTCAAGCCAAGAAGATGAGCCTTTCGATTGACCAGGAGACCTTCAGTCCCAAGTAACCCTACTGGGGATGCAGGCTCCTCCAGGTATGTTCCATCTCCCAGAACCTTCTCAGTCGTGTACCTCCCGCATGTTTCACGGCCTCTGGAATTCAGCCGTCTTATACCTAAAGAGCTTTTTCAAAAGATAAAGGAACGTCGGGGCGCCTGGGTGGCCCAATCGGTTGAGCAGCTGACTTCAGCTCAGGTCATGATCTTGCGGTCTGTGGGTTCAAACCCCGCACGGGGCTCAGTGCTGACAGCTCAGAGCCTGGAGCCTGCTTCTGATTCTGTGTCTCCCTCTCTCTCTCCCCCTCCCCTGTTTGTGCTCTGTCTCTCTCTCTCAAAAATAAACATCAACAAAATTATATTTATTTTTGAGAGAGAAAGAGAGAGAGAAAAATGGAACATGAGGGGGAAGGCCAGAGAGAGAGGGAGAGAGAAAGAATTCCAAGCAGGCTCCACACTCTGCAATGAGCCAGATGTGGGGCTTGATCTCACAACTGTGAGATCATGACCTGAGCCGAAATCTAAAGTCAGAGGCTTAACCGACTGAGCCACCCAGGTGCCCCTAAAGATTTTATTTTTAAGGAATCTCTGCACCCAGTGTGGGGCTTGAACTTACAACCCCAAGTTCGAAAGTTGCATGCTTTACCAACTGAGCCAGCCAGATGCAGAGTGTCAGGGACCTGGGGGGCCAGAACTAATGATCTAACATTCATGTCCCTGGAGGGGAAGGAGAAGAGAAACAGGGAAGGCTGGAAAAGCAGCTGAAGAAATAATGGCTGAAGACTTCCATATTTGACCAAAAAAATAACTTACATCTAATAAGTGAAATGAACTCAAAACAAGATAAATGCCCCAAAATTCATGCCAAGATATATTATATTGAAACCGCTGAAAATTAAAGATAAAGAATAAAATCTCAAGAGCAAAGAACAAAGAGAAATGATACCTGTAGTGGAAGAAAATTCACATGACAACAGATTTCTCCTCAGAAACAAACAAACAAACAAACAAACATGCAGGCTCCTCCAGGTATGTTCCATCTCCCAGAACCTTCTCAGTAGTGTATCTCCCGCATGTTTCATGGCCACTGGCACATTTTTTTCAAGTGCTGAAAGAAAAGAACCATCAACCCAGAATCCTATAGCCTGCAAACACACCCGTCTGGAATGAAGTGGGGAATCAAGGCATTGTTAGCTGGAGAAAAACTAAGAGACTTTGTTGCCAGCAGACTGACTTTAAATGAATGGCTAAAAGAAGTTTTCTAAACAAAAATGATAAAAGAAGGAATCTTGGAACATCAGGAAGGAAGGAAGAATATAGTAAGCAAAAATACCGGTAAATAAGTAAGTAAATAAGTGGATTTTCCTTCTCCTAAGTTTTCTAAATTACATTTGATGATTGAAGCACCAATTATCATACTGTCTGATGTCGTTCAAAATGCATGCAGAAGAAATACTTAAGATTATTATATTATAAACAAGAGGATTAAAGGAACAGAAAGGGATGTAAGTTTTCCATACTTAAACATATGTAGGGATGCCTGGGTGGCTCAGCTGGTTGGGGGTCCAACTTCGGCTCATGTCATGATCTCACAGTCTGTAGGTTTGAGCCCCGTGTCGGGCTCTGTGCCAATGGCTCAGAGCCTGGAGCCTGCTTCAGGTCCTGTGTCTCCCTCTCTCTTTCTGCCTCTCCCCCACTTCACTCTGTCGCTCTCTCTCAAAAATAAATAAACATTAAAATTTTTAAAAATATTTATTTATTCTTGAGAGAGAGGGACAGAGAGCTAACAGGGGAGGGGCAGAAGGAGGGAGACACAAAATCTGAAACAGGCTCCAGGCTCTGAGCTGTCAGCACAGAGCCCGACGTGGGGCTTGAACCCACGGACCAAGAGATCATGACCTGAGCCGAAGTTGGATGCTTAACCAACTGAGCCACCCAGGTGCCCCTAAAAATTTTTTTTAAATAAATAAAAATAAACATATGCAGTGATGCCACTGGCAGATTGTTGATAGAGCAATCATTTAAAAACCTAAACAAAGAGATACACTCAAAAATACTGTAGTTAAAGCAAAACAGAATTCTTTATACACACACACACACAAACACATATAAGTTCTCAAAGAATATTGTTCAATTAACCTCCAGGAAAGCAGGGGGAAAAAGAGAAACAAAAAACAGAAAACAAACAAAAAGTGGCAGACCTAAGCCCCAACATGTCAATAATTACATTAAATGTAGATGGTCTAAATACACTATTTAAAAGACAGAGCTTGGCAGAGTGGATTTTAAAAATGGACCTAACTGTATGCTTTCTGTGGAGATTCGTTTCAAATATGATATAGGCAGGTTGAAAGTAAAAGGATGGAGAAAGATATATCATGCAAACCATCAAGACAAAGTAGGAATGGCTATATAAATATCTGATGAAGCAGACGTCAGAACAACAAAAATTATCGAGACAGAGAGGGACATAATATAATAATGAAAAGGGCCAGCCCATCAAGAAGGAGTAGCAATCATAAATGTCTAAGCACCGAAGAGAGCTGCCAAAATATGTAAAGCAAAAACTGATTGACCAGAAAGTAAAAATGGATAAAATGGCCACATTTCTAGAATTCAACATTTCTTTTTCAACAGTTAATCCCGAGATCACCTGACCCAGTGAATCAGCAATGATAGAGAGGACTTCAAAGGAGATACCACCAGCAGGATCTAATCAACTCCACCCAACAATTATAGTATCTTGACCATATCATTGTCAGTATCCAGGTTATGATAGTGTAGTATAGCTTTGCAAGACGCTATTTGGGAAGAACTGAGGGAACCTGCCGAAAGTGTACAAGGAGTCTCTCTGTATTATTTCTTACAACTGCATCTGAATATAAAATTACCTTAAAATTAAAAATTAAATTAAAAAATGAGCCCCTGTACTTCCTCATTTAAAAGTACCCAGAAATGTTATACATGTTGCTCTTATAGTCCTAAGACCTGTATTTAGAATGTACACAACATAATCTCAGACTTCATCGATTCAGGCGAAGATCATCAGTGGATGAAACGATAAGAAGAAAGAGTGATGGGGAACTTAACATGGAGGGAGTGGGCTGATAGCACATGAACCTATTGCTTGTTCTTCGCATTACTAGGAGTGAATCAACCACGCTGTTTGTGCCTCCCTGATGTGATGCATCAGGGAGTATACAGCACACAAGGGAGTATTCTTAGAAAAGAAAAAGAGGGGCACCTGAGTGGCTCAGTCGGTTAAGGGTCTGACTTCAGCTCAGGTCATGGTCTCACAGTCCGTGGGTTCGAGCCCCGCATCGGGCTCTGTGCTGACAGCCAGCTCAGAGCCTGGAGCCTGCTTCGGATTCTGTGTCTCCGTCTCTTTCTGCCCCTCCCCACTCACCCTCTTTCTCTCAAAATAAAGACATAAAAAAAATTAAAAAAAGAAAAGAAAAAGAAACCCAACTAGAATGTGATCTAGCCATTAGCATCAACTTCCATTGGACGAGAATTATGAGGGGATAGAGGAACAAGTTGAATGAGACCATGACTGTGCAAATGGAATGTGGGACTATTACAGCCTGACGGATGGGGCTCTCTAACAAGCAAATACATGAAACGGGGTGAGGGGAAGGCTGAGATGCTGAAGTTTAAAACAGACCAGAAGTACTGCACCAATGCCACGTGTAACTCATGTTTGGATCCTAACTCAAGCCAACTGCAATACACATTTTAAAACACAGTCAGGGAGGGGTGTCTGGGTGGCTCGGTGAGTTAAGCATCCCACTCTTGGTTTCAGCTCAGGTCACGACCTCCAGGTTTGTGAGTTTGAGCCCCGTGTCAGGCTCTGCTACAGACCCTGCTTGGGATTCTCTCCCCTGCTCATGCTCTCTCTCTCAAAATAAGTAAATAAATATATGTATATAGAAATTATATATATTTTATATGTAATTATGTATTATTACAAATATTATATATATTATATATATATAATAAAAACTGTCAGGGGGGCACCTGAGTGGCTCAGTTGGTTAAGTGTCCGACTTGGGCTCAGGTCATGATCTCACGGTTTGTGAGTTCCAGCCCCATATTGAGCTCTGTGCTGACAGCTCAGAGCCTGGAGCCTGGGTTGGATTGCGTCTCCCTCTCTGTCTGCCTTTCCCCCACTCATGCTCTGTCTCTCAAAAATGAAACTAAACAAAATTTAAAACACCAGTGTATAGGCTTTTGTGTAAACATAGGTTTTTGGGGAGTCATATGGTAAACTTACGTTTAATTTTATAAAAACGCAACGATCTTTTTAACCTTTTTTAACCTCCAAAGGTCAAACAAATGGAAGTGTTTTGTATTTACCCACGTTGGCCACCCCAGCATCCCTCACTTTTTGTGTGTGTAAATTCGAAATTCGGATTTCCTTTCGTCTACAAATATTTCTAACAGTGAAAGCTTGCTGTGAATTCTCTGCACCTCTGCTTGTCTGCATAGACCTTTATTTTGCCTTTATGTTGGAAAGGTATTTTCGCTTGGATATATTAACCCGAGGCTGGCTGTGTCTGCTTGTCACTCCACTTGGCCTTGGGCTGGAGCCTTGGTCAAGTCCGGCCCGGAGGACCACATACCCACCTGTGGAGCCGAACGACGGCTGTGTCGGCAGGACAGCCCCGAGGGCCACCCCACCCCCACCCCAAGGCCTCCCGTCCGGACCTTTAGCGCGTCGGAAAACGCCCTCCGGAGCGACGCCGGGCCCCAGGGACAGTTCAGGGCCAGGGCGAGGGCGAGGCCGAGGGAGGTGGGGAGACGTGGCAGCGAGGCCCCAGGAGTGTCAGCCGCGGGCCATCGGGTTCGCTCGAAAGCCTCAGACCTCGCTCACTCCTCTGCACCTGCGGCGGGGACCCGCCTCTCTGGCCAACCTAGCGCACGCCCTCCCCAAGGCCCCGCCCACTCCGGCGAACTCCGCCCCCAAAACCGGTGTTCGGGGCCCGAGGCACCTCCTTAAAGCGCCGCCCGGCCTGCGCCTGCGCCGACTCCCGCTGCCCGCCGACGGCAGCTTTCCACGCCCGGGGCGCCAGAGTGGCCCACCGACGCCAGGTCCCGGACGCTGTCGCCACTTCGAGCCGCCTCAGGAGCCCCGGCCCGGCCCGCCACAGGGCTGGACACATTGGAGAAGGGGCGCCGCATGGACGCACCGGCTTGCTCTGCGGCCGTGCGCGCCTTCCTGGAGCGCGGCCACACGGAGCTGGACACGGCCTTCATGTACAGCGACGGCCAGTCCGAGGGCATCCTGGGCGGCCTGGGCCTCGGGCTGGGCGACGGCGACTGCAGAGGTAACTTCTACCTCGCCTGCACCTGCGGCGCCAGGCCGCCCCCAGCCGTGCGTGCCCTCCCGGGCTCAGACCTTCCTGCAGCTCCGTGAACGTCTCGCCCCAGAGAGCCAGACAGTGCTTGGTCCTGACTTCCTTCCTTTCCTCTTTTCCCTTCCGAGAAGATCGTCCAGGACCCTCCCTACAGCAGTGTCCCACCCAGGTCCAGTCTGAGATGACTTGGTTAGCTCTTCTAGGGGGCGCTGAAGTGGCTGGAATCTGGCGCTGCGCAGCGCCTGTCCCCTTTCCCGCTCCCTGCAGGTGCCCTGTGCGGGCCTGATCTGCCAGAACCCTGCCCATACTGTTCTGGCATTCCCTGGCACAGCCCCGGATCAGTCCTCAGAACGGGTGGGAGATCTGCATCCTCCTTGCTCTGGGCCCTCGACTTTGCTCCGTGGAGCTCCGGGTGCCACATTCAGTTGGCAGTGCCTCCCGCCTCAGGAGATTGGCAGCCGCAGTGGCTCGTGGGCAGGATGGGAGAGGGGAGGGGGTAGGTCATCTAACTGCCCTCCGTGCTAGCCTCTAAGGTCACAGAAGGGAAACTGACACTAACCCAGTCCAAGGAAGGAGCTCAGATTCTAGAGAAGGCTGGGGAAGCCCAGAGCGTTTCTGGAGGGGTCACTGAAGAAAGCAGAGAAGAGGGAACATTAGACACTGAAGAACTGATAGGGGTTTGCCAAGGAAGAGTAAGAGAACAGGCGTTCACACTGTGGGCATGGGCAGTGGGTGTGCCAAGGCAATGAGGTTTGGCAATGCCAACGGTGTTGGAGCAGGCAGATGAAGCTAAGTGGAGGGTTTGCGTATGGGCAGGGGAACGTCCATTCTCAGCCTGATGCCATGTGAAAGACTTCACGCAGTGCTGGGCAGGTACACAGTGAGGGTTCAGCAATACTGGCCGCTACTATTAGTAGTAGTGATAGTAATGTTATTAGCACACTGCACTTCTCTCTCTTCTGGTAGAGTCTTGCCTGGTTTCTCCCGTGATTCACAGTGTCTAGATCTGCAACAGTAGGACAACAGCATGCCTGCATCTCAGGGCTCACCCTTTCTAGATCACCTGGCTGCCTCTTTGACCGCTCTGGTCTTATTCCTGAAGGTGTTTTCTTTTCCAAGCCCTCCTTCTCTTCCTTCTTTCCGGTTAGAGCTAGCTGGGCCAAAGTCCTTAAACCTCAGAGCCGGTTTAATTCACTTGAAGAACAGGCCGAGGCAGAGGGTGAGGAGGTGGGGGAATGAACAGTTCCAAGTGAGCCGTCCTCTCTCCTGCTCTTAAGTCTCGAGGTGGGTGACTGCCCTCCGGCCTGCTGAGGTGACTTGCCGAGCCCCAAGTGTGCAGAGAGGGCCCTCCTCCCACCCATCAGTCCAGCCACCCACGATCCTTAGTGGGGGCCGGAGAGAAAAGTATTTAACGAACCCAGTCGTGACAACACAGACGGCACTGGGCTCTTCTCACTGCGCTGTCTCTGATGGGCTCCTGTTTCCTTCCCGGGGGCCCGCCTGCAGCCTCTTGCCCTTCTTTCCTGATTTCCTGCCGTGGTCTCCTTGCTGCTCTCCCTGGTTCTGGACCTGCCCCCCGAGGCTCTTCATCCATGCTTCGTTCAGATTCATCTTTCAAAACTGCAAGACCGACCCCTTAGCTCCCCAGCTGGAAGGTGTACCCAGGAGCGTGGGGGCACCAGGGAGCCCCAGAACAGAGCTGGGGGCAGACTCCACCCCCCGGACCCCCACCCTTGGGGGTCCCCTTTCTAGAGTCCTGGGCCGTGTGGCGGGTTCTTACCGAGGCCTCTCCCCCGCAGGGCAGGTTTGTGGAGCTTGGCCTCTCCAACTATGCCTCCTGGGCGGTGGCCGAGATCTGTGCCCTCTGCAAGAGCAACGGCTGGATCCTGCCCACCGTGTACCAGGTAGGGCCGGGGCTGCAGGGCCCATCCGCAGGGCTGCTGCTGATCCCGGCTTCTCCCGGCCCCTCCAGCTGCCTCCTGTGCCCCCTCCCTAGCAGCCACTCCCCTGCCGACGGCCTGGAGAGGGCTCCCGGGTGCCGTGGGGACGAGTGCAGGCCCCTCAGCTTGGCCAACAGGCACCTGCTCGCTCTGGCCCTGGCTCCCCTCATTGCCCGCGGGTGCTCCGCGGGCCCTTCCTTCGTGCTCCCTCCCCGTGCGCGTCAGCCTGGACCCCTCCTCCCCTTCTCCCTGGTAGAAGCAGGTGCTCAGGCCCCACTTAGATGGCTCTTGATCTGGAAGCCTTTCCCGCTGCCCCAGAGGAGCCTGAGATCCCAGGCTCTACTTATCTTCTCCTTCATCCAGCAAATGTACCTACTTGGTGCCAGGTACTGCTCACAGAACTTACTAGTGTACTGTGATCGCTGCTTTTCTTGTTATACCTGTCTATGCTCTACCTTGCCATTAAATCTCTCAGGGCTGGGGCCTTGTTCTTTGGGCGTGTGGATGGAAATTCAATGTATGGCCCATAGCTGGTGCTCAGAAAATGAATTTTCCTTCCGCTAAGTATACGCCCTGAGTGTTAAGATCCTAGGATTGTTAGGGTGTAAACTGGGGGCTCTGCAGGGAAGATCTGGGGTCCCTTCCCTTGACACGGCACCCTGTCCCTCTGGCCCTTCTGTCTGCAGGGCATGTACAATGCCACCACCCGGCAGGGGGAAACGGAGCTCCTCCCCTGCCTCAGGCACTTTGGATTGAGGTTCTACGCCTACAACCCTCTGGCTGGTACGGGCTGCTGTGGGGACAGGCTTCCCCTGGGCGGGAGGGCCCTCCTGGCCCCCGTGTCTGTCTCTTCCTGACATGGTAGATGTCCGGCCCAGGACCTGGGAGGCAGGGAGGGTTTGGGAAGAGGCTGGGCTGTGTCCCCCATCCCTCCTGAGTTACTTGCCATCCGCCCCCCCCCCCCCCGCCGCCAGTCCAGAAAAGCTTCTGGGAGCAGTGTAGGCCAGTGGGTGTGACCGCAGTCTTCCCGCTGACCGGCAAGTACAAGAAGACAAGAATGGGAAACAGATGCTTCTTTGGGAATAACTGGGCTGAGATCTACAGGAACTGGTGAGCTGGGGGTGGGCTGCATCAGCACAGAGGTGGCCTGCGTCCCCCTAGTCTGGAATAGGGGGGTCTCTTGGCTGATTTCCTGTGGGCCGGGACCTCTTCCTGGGGCTCCGACCTAGGCCTCTGCATTCCCAAGGGCTTTACCAACTCTCCCCCCACCCCTGCTGCCATATTCTGTGTCTCTGGGGGAGGGATCCCTGAGCCTTCTGGCAGGTCCACCCGCAAGACTCCCTGGAAGGGCTCACCTGCTGCGCACAGTGGGGGGGGGGGTGCCCTTGGATCAGGATTTGGGAACCCTGGCACTCCCTGCTGCCCCACTGCTAGCTGGCCCTTCACCGTGGGCAAAGGAATCTAAGTTTTGTAATCTCTTGGCTGTGAGATTGTTACCAGTGTCTATAGTTACAGTTGAACAAATGCTTGGATCAGCCTTCTCCCCTTCTGTTGCCCGCTTTCTAAAATTTGAAAATACCCATGGCTGGAAGCAACCCGTTTCCAAACTGCACTCATTAGTTTAGGAGCCACTGCCCCGTGCAGTGTTTTCTTGCTGCCAGGTCCTGGGCTTCACCCTGGGGAATCAAGGCCTGATGGTTTTGACCTTGTCTGCTCTTTAAAGAGCACAATTGAATCCATTATCTCCTTTATATACTGCATTTGCTGCAAGGGGCTGGCCCGGAGCGTCCCCTCTTCTCACTGAGCAGGGAAGAGAAGGGGAGGCAGGTGGCTTCAGCCAAGGCCAAAGCCAGGATTTGTCGTGGGGCCGGTGGCAGGCAGTGCACTGGTGTCCTGGGTCCCAATCTGGGGGGTCGTGTTGTTCATACCAATGCAAGCATGCTGCCTCCTGTCCACTGTGTACCCTCTAACCCCCGCCCGACTGAAAAATGCCCCACAGAGGGACTGGAGAGCCACATGTATTCTAAGAGGTTGGCTTCTCGGTGCCTCAGGGACCAGTGTGTGGACACCTGCCCTGGAGCGACCTGCTGGCACTGACTGCTGGGCCACCCTCCCCACCTGCCCAGCTGCTGGAAGGAGCACCTCTTTGAGGCCATTGCCCTCATGGAGAAAGCGGTGCAGGCCACGTAGAGCAGCAGAGCCCCCAGCATGACCTGGGCTGCCCTCCGGGGGACGTGCCACCACCCCCAGCTCCCGGTAACCCGGCATCCCAGGGGTGTTTCTTTCCCTTTTGTGTCTGGTGGGCGGAGGGAGAAAACGGAAGGGAGAGGGCTACAGAATTATTTGATGGATTCTAAGATCATTCCCTTCCTTCTGATAGTTCTCCATGCTAATCCTGTTTCCTTAAGCGCCACATTACGCACTCTGCCACCCGAGAAGCGTGATTATCCCAGCTGTACATGTGGGGAAACCATTTCAGAGGCTGTTAAGGCCCCACGGCTCCACGAGCGCAGACTGGACTCTGAAACTGACATCTGTTAGCCATCAGTGTTTGTTCCGTCCCAGCTCGCACACTGCAGAGTCCGACTCCGTGCCTGGCGGGGTCTCCCTCTCTGCTGTCCCGTGTCCCTAACACCTCCCTCTGGCTTGAGCATGATCTACTGAGAGCTCCCCTTTCTAGAGCTGGCAAGTGCCAGACCTGAAGTAAATACTTCACAAAGTTTTCATTCCCACCCTGCACAGAAGTCTGAAGCTTGGGGAGGTCAAGGAACTGACCTGGGGTTTACCCAGCTGCCGAGCACACAGGGGAGTGGCTCTGAACTCACGTCTGCCTGCGGAGAAGTCTGTAAAAGCAGGGCTTTCGAGACATACATTGTTCCTGGAATAATGTAGGATGTAGGTAGACACCAGATGCTGGGCCTCCGCAGGGGCGGGGCAGCGCCAGCTGAACGTGTGGCCAGAGTCACTGCGGTGCCTGTGTGTTCACCCGTGGCCGTCTCCCCTTGCGGGTGCCCACAGGGACACGGTCATCCTGGGCATGTCCAGCCTGGAGCAGCTGGCACAGAACTTGGCGGCGACTAAGGAAGGGCCCCTGGAGCGCACCGTTGTGCAGGCTGGCACCTGGTTGCCCGCCAACGTCCCGACGACCTCCGCTAGGGCCAGTCCTGGCTTGAGGTGGCAGAGGGCCCCTCCTTCACGCTCAGCCTGGGCCTCACACGGCTGTAGCGAGCCTGTTTCTCCCCGCCAGTGCCAGCGCACAAGCTGGTTATTTCCTCTACTCCCGCCATGCTCCCGGCTGCCCTCACGCGAAAGGGCTGGGGCTGCGGTCCACTCGGCCATTTCCTGCCGGGACAAAGCGGGCACTAGACCTGGCTGCCCAGCCCAGGAGCGAGCCTGGTGAATCTGTTTTCTCTGCTGCCAGCGGCCTGGTTCCGGTCCTTCCCGGGGGCTTTGGGGGCAGGAGGCAGGAGCACGGATTACGCTTCCCAGCCTCCTGTCCTGAATCTAGCGTGACCTCTGGACACGGCGGCAGGAGGTGGCGCTCACGCTGCTACACACATTAAAGAGGCCCACACACCCTGAAGCTTTTCTGTCACTCAGAGATCCTTCGGGGGACACTCACGACAAAGAACAACTTAGGTAAAAGCCTACCAGTGGAGTCACTACCAAGAGCAAGAGGTCCTGGTATGCTGTGGTGCAGTTTTAATGCCTGCTCTGGGTTTCAGCAGTGGCTTTACTCCTGTCTTAGTCAAAGTGTCCCTCCTGGTCTGTAAGACTCCCGGCCCTGGTGTGGGAGGAGGGAGAGGAAGAAGGGAAGGAAGGGCAGCCAGGGTGCCTGTATTCCTCGGCAAACCCCTCTCCGGTAGGGGACTCGAGGGCCGGAGGAGAAGGGCCAGCCCCGGCAGCTCGCCCGCCCCGGTGGTCATGCTCCGGCGCTGGAAGCTGGCTCACGGTAAACAAGGCAAACTAAAGACATCCTGGAACAAACAGAAGCCCAAAGCCAAGGCCTTTTTTCTAGGAAAAGTCCTCTTTGCTGTTGTCCACAGGGAGCCATCCCGCAGACAGCTTTACTCCTTATAGAAAAGCAGTCCGTCCCTGTCGCCCTCCCTGCTGCTCCCCCAGCAGGGTGGCGGTCCCACGTGTCCTGGCCCCAAGTGCCCGTTAGTCGTCTTCACCCTCTGATTCTTCTGCTGACTCGGATGCGCTCTCAGGCAAGTCCTCTCCCATCTGCTGGAACCTTCCAGACTGTGCGTCCCACATGTACTTGATGGTGACCTTGAATTCAGCCATCTCATACCCGAAAAGCTTCTGCAAGAGACGCGTAAAGGGAACCAACGGTCAGGAGGAGCTCGTGTGGTGCGAAGTGGCCACAGTCCCTTGCACTACAGCACACGGGACGCAGCCAGGGTGGGACTCACCAGCACGCGGGCCTGCTCTGGGGTTAGCACGTCGCCCTCCTTGCACACCTCGTAGTCAGACAGCAGGGTCACCACACCTACAGAGAAGGGGACCCCACACAGTGACTTCTGCACAGAGGCCCATGCACAGCTCTCTGCCCGCTGCCCGGAGCCAGGAGGGGGTTGGCTGGCACCCCCGGGCCCCAGCCCCACCATACTCGGGCTAAATCAGCGAGTGCTCGGCAGCCCAGGAGGGTCTGCAGGGGGATGAAGCCTCCCTCGTGTCCTTTAGCTGCTGAATTCTGGCTGCAAGTTACTGTCACTCTTGTCCCAACCAAGAGGTGGTCACTCAGTCCCTCTTTCACAGGAGAAAATGGAAGCCAGCTTGAGGCGGGGGGGGTGTCTAGCGAGTTTGGAAGCTTATGTCCCTGGCAGCTAAGCTGTGACCTTTCCGCTCCAGGGACTAACCCGTACCTCTCTTGAGGGCAGTGGGCAGGCCCAGCTGCCTCAGCTGCGGCTCCATGGAGTGGGGGAACTGCTCCAGGGGTCCCGGGTCCAGGGTCACTGTGAAAGTGGCTTTGTTTCCAGCTCGAGCAAAGTCCATTTCTGTGTATTTCATAAACCACCTTTCGGAAAAGACCAGTGGTGGTGTTGGGGTCCTGACTGGCCCACCAGGCCCACATGAAATCGGCCCCCCACCCCCACCTCCCCTGCTGCTGACCAGCAGTCAACTCGGAGCCTGGTGCTGCAGACAAGGCAGGCCCAGGGGCAGTGTTCCGGGCATCGGTTTGGACTCGATGCCTCCATGCTGTCCAAAGTACCCGGACTATTCCTTCCCTGCTGCTCCTCAGTAACACTTACTCATTCACTTCCTCCTTGGTGCGGTTGGTGAACAGGAGCCCGACCTCACCCCTCAACTTCTTGCTGACCTACAGAACCAAAGCGGGGTCAGCCCAGTCCCATTAGACGTCTGGCACGATCTGGAGAGGTTTTTGGTTGTCACAGCTGGTGGGGCGGGGACACCAGTCTGAGTGTGGGGGTTAAAGGAGAATGGAGCTGTGAACTGGGCCTTGCTCTCACTGATCCCCCCAATGGCCAGAAAGTCACCTGATGCAGGTTGTCTTTGTACTCGTCAGCTGGACTTCGACCCAAGGCCACCATCATCACTTTGTTTTTGCCAAAGAACATTCTACGGGGAAAAAGAGGGGTCTGTGAAGGATGCGCCCTGCCCGCCCTCCTCCAGTCAGGTGCAAGCCAGCTCTAGTCCCGGGGAGCCCGAGCGCAGGCCCAGGCTGTTCCGCAGCAGGTGTGGCCAGAGGCTCTGGCTTCTTCCGCGTGGCCCTGCCTGCTCTGTCCACAGCCAAACATCCCGCTCATGATCTTCCTGCCTAAAGGCCTCAACACACAATTTTGACTGCCAGCCCGTGGGTGGTATGTGACCCTCTACGCACCCCAATCTGGTGATGTGGAAGAGGCGCAGTCACCGGTCTGAGCCACACCAGGACTCACTTGTGCCATCACAGAGCCACCTGAGGACAGGCACCCGCCACATGGTTCTCAGGTCACTGTGTCATCTCAGAGAACACCCTGCTAAAAGGACCAGATCCCTTTCTCCTGAGGGATCGTTACCCAGACACTCCCTGAGCCACTACGAAATCCTGCCCCCGAGAAGCTCAACGCAAGGCCAGTTCTAATGGCTACAGGTGCCTCCGGAGGGTGTGGCACTGTCCTTACTGAGGAGCTATCTGTGTGGCCCGGCGCCGCCCATGCTCCGAGAGCACCCCAGCGTCTTCTCTACTCAGGAAGGCCCGTCCACCGTCTGCTCACCGGCTGTGTTTCCAGGCGTTCCGGATGTCCTTCAGCTTGCTGTTCCTCATGTTGGCCACGGAGAAGATGAAAAGGTACTTGTATGTGTCCACACATTTCCGAAGCTGCGAGACAATTCATGGGGTTCTGGAGTTCAAGGGGCAGCACAGGTTGGGCCTCAGGTGGGAAAAAATCTGCTCTAGGTCCCTAACGACCATGGAAGTTTAGAGCTGGAGGCCTCTAATCCAGTCGTCTCCTCCTGACTTCCATTGCAGAAGACTCCCCTGAGGCAAAGCAGGCGCGATCTCAAAGCGCAGGGGAAGCTGCGAGCCATGGGTCCATGCCCCATAGTCTTCCCAGGCTCCTGACTGATCTGTGGCTGGGGGGGGGGGGGGGGGGGGAGGGGCAGGGAGGGATGGATTGCTTTGCTTTGCCCATTAAGTGACAACCCAGAAATAGTTAGCTATCCTTGGAAGGCTCCTGCGAAATGGAATCTATATAGCCTCGTTATTTACTCCAAAGAAGTGGCTCATCGGCCCTGCTCTGCCCATGGTGTTGGTCTCACAGACACGGAATCACTGTGCTGGAGGAGACTCTACGCTCACCCAGCCTGCGGCCTTGAAGCAGTGTGGACAGGGGGCTGGTGCACTTATAACTAGTAACATTAGAGGTTTTTTTTGGAGAGAGAGAAGAGAGAGAGGCAGGCAAAGCTCACCTGAAGCCTTGAGTTCACCTGATATGGGACTCGAACTCACAAACTGTGAGATCATGACCTGAGCCACCCAGGTGCACCCTCCCCCCCCTTTAAAAGTAAGCTCTAGGGGCACCTGGGTGGCTCAGTAGTTTAAGCACGTGACTTCAGCTCAGGTCATGATCTCACAGTTTGTGAGTTCAAGCCCCACATCAGGCCCTGTGCTGACATCTTGGAGCCTGGAGCCTGCTTCAGATTCTTTGTCTCTCCTCTCTCTCTGCCCCTCACCCATTCGTGCTCTGTCCTTGTTTCTCAAAAATAAATAAATGTTAAAAAAATTTAAAAAATAGATAGATAAATAAATAAAAGTAAGCTCTACGCCTGACATAAGCCCTGAACTCATAATCCTGAGATCAAGAATCACAAGCTCTACCGACTGAGCCAGCCAGGCGCCCTGGGACTCTACAGCTTTTTGACACAGGGCAGGCTACCAAATCTAGGTTTCTGTTACTGAGATGCAAAACAGTGGTAACTGTTCACAGACGTGTTGTAAGGACGATGTGGAACGGCACACGTGGAGCACTTAAGTGGGGTCCCAGGCAGAGCCGGAACTCATTCTTACGGGGGTTTTCATTGGTGCTGCTGCTGGAGGAGAAAGGGCTGAACCAGCACCTTGTGGAGGTGGTGATGGTGCGTGCGTGCGTGTGTTTTTTAAAAAACAGGACTTCCCTGACAACCCTATAGCCACCTTTATAAATCAAAGTTTGGAACAATAAGAAGAACGAGCTCTTACCTCTTCTATCAGGTTCTGTTTCAGTTCTAAGCCTTTCTTGGCAGTTTTGGTTAAGGAAACTAATACAAAGAAGAAAAAGACAAATGGTGAGACACAGGTCCAGAAGCTTTGCAGGCTCATTTCCTTCTCCCCTTTGGTAGCTCAGCCAGACCAAGCCAGTGTGAGGAAAGGCACCAGGGTTTTGTACTCCCAGGGTCCCCAGCGTGCCTACTCTCCAGTGTTCCTGAGCCTGAAGGTCCCTTGACATCCTTCCTATTACTTAGACTAACTAGGTGTTCCCTCGCTCCTCTTAGGCTAACCTAAAAATCTGTACGGAGGTGTGGGGGCAGGGCTTGTTCCTGTTCCTCGACTGCTTTCAGAGGCTGACCCAGCTTGCCAGGGCCCTTTCTGATCCCCCCCTCGCCCCACCATGATGCATAGAGAAAATCTCTGGTGGCTTAAGCTGTGGAATGATGAATCTGGGGACTCTATCTCCTCTGCTGCACCCTGTTCTGCAGTTTGGACTCCTGGATGCAGCAATGCCTCTTTGGGGACGGCAAGCACCTCTATCAAGAGCTGGGGCCCAACTACCTCTTATCCAGAAGGGTTTGGCATTTGCCATAGCTCACCAGGGCTCCCCGTACCAAACCCCGTCCTTCCACAAACACTTAACAAAAGCATCAAATGCAAGGCTGTGAGTGTCCCCAGTTATGGGGCCACTTCTTATTCAGCCT